TAATTATTGGGAAATGCATGGAAAAGACATTGAATGATAAAGCGGGGAGATTGATGTCTCTGTATTGACTGACATGCATGGCATTCCCTTTTGAAAAAGCAATGGAAGTCAATGTAAAGTTATATGTAATCCAATGTAATATAAAGAAGATTATGATGATAATAAAAATTAAAAAAATTAAAATTAAAATTAAAAAAAAAAATCGGCCCTGGGAGGACCAGCAGATGGCATAGTGGCTTGAACTCCAGGTGCGTGTGTGTGCATGTCTAAGATCCCAGGAGAAGAATGAAATAGAAGGGACTGCAGCATGGCCATCTCCCTAGGGGGTGATTTCTCACTTTCCCTCTCATTGTCTGTGGCCTCCCTCACCCCACCCAAGCTCACAAGCTCACATGCCCTAAGGCCAAAAAACAAAACAAAACAAAACAAAACACCTCCCCTGGGAAAACAATGAGGGGCCACTAGGAGCCAAGGAGCTTTACCTCGACTTTGTGCACGAAGTCCAGTGTAAAGGGGAAAATCCCCTTGGGATGTCTCCCGGGCAACTGGAAGCCCAATTTCAATTTAATTAACCTCTTTATCTTTCCACCCTCCACTTCTATTTTGGTTAATGGTTGTGCCAGTGTTTTTCCAACTTTTTTGACAGTTTCCCACTATAAGAAACACAAATGAACATCATGCCCCGTCATATATGTGCACACGTGTACAACAGGAAAACAAATTTCACAAAACAGCATTCCCCCAGGACATGTGGTGCCTGTTCGCATTCCCTAGTCTATTTCATTTTTAAAAGCTAGTTATGGGAACCAGCAGTTGGCATAATAGCTGTGTCACTGGACTCCCATGTAGTCGACTGAGGTTCGAGTCCCAGACCTGGTGGCTTAAACTCACACAGGGCACATGTGCATGCGTGCCCAAGATCCCGAGAGGAGAATGGAAGAGAAGGGGTTGCGGCGTGGCTATCCCCCCTGGGGGGTGATCTCTCACTTTCTGTCTCTCTGTCTCTCTCTGTCTTTCTGGCGAGTGCACATCCCCTATAGCAAAAACCTCTCATAATAAAAGCTAGCTATGGCCAAGGAATTGCTCCGCAGCCCACTAAAGACCTGCAGCCAACACCGTGGAGGCCCCTGAGTTGCACTCTGAGAGCTATGCACTACACCGCCTCAGGGGTCTTTGGGTGCCACAGGTAGCTTCCCGAGGGCTTGTTGGTTTTGCTTCTGCGTGTATTTCCTAAATATGGCCTGCACCCTGGCCGTTGTCCTCTCTCCCCTGGAAGATTTCAACAGTGGCATGTTGTTTAAATGTCACTGGGTGTTTTACATGTACTGACTCACTTAACCCACGCAGCAATCTAAGAGGGGTGTTATTATCTTTATTCCCACCTCACAGATGAGAAAACCATGGCCCAGAGAGGTTAAGGCACTTGCCCAACTAGCGAGTGGCAGAGAAGAGGTTTGGTTCCGGTTGTGTGTCCCCAGACCCGCCCCTCACCCACCCACTGCTTCTCCAAAAAGCCAACTTGCCCTCCTGCCTCTCCCTTCTCTTGCTGCTATGCAATTAAAATTCTATCCCCCAGATGACCATCTGCCCTGATCCCACCTCTTTGAAGCCCCCTGGAGCCGGCCCCCCATTGCTTTCAGCATGTGGCCCATACGGGAGACCTGTAACTGGCCCACCTGGACCCTGCCCTCTGCAGACTCCTCCCTGTACCCACTCCCTGCTCTCTGGTCCGCACTGCTTCTTCCATGCTTCTATGCCTTTGCCACGCTGGCACCCATGCTCTGGATGCCCTTCCCAACAAGGCCCAGCTTGCTTGGCTCACTTCTCTGTAGTTTCCCTCGAGTCTCCGTGGTCCCCAGGTACACCGACTGTGCCTGCCCTAACCATAGAACCTAGCATCCAGTTCGAGCTACTTGCTTTCTGCCTGCCTCTCCGCCTGTATGCACGCTCCCAAGAGCAGGGACCCTGCATCAGTCTTCTCCTGTCCTAGGCCATGGCCTGGCTCTGGGACCTCAGGCATGAAGGCTATGGAAATGAACCTCTGAGAAGCCCTCCTGGCAAGTGCACAGCCCCGCAGGCCAGCCAACACTCTCACACCTACTGTGGGTCCCCGCCGGGGCCTTCTAGGCAGACAGGGCAGATTAGGACCCCATTTCAGAGATGGGGAAGCTGAGGCCCAGTGAGGTCCACAACCTTGATCCAGGCCCACTGCTACCACAGGCACTGTCGGGACTAAGATCTCTTTAGCCCTCCTGACTGGGCTCTCCCAGGCTGTGCTCATGCTCGAGCACAGAGGGGACTCTGCTAGGACAGGAAGCAAGCAGCAGGAAGGCAACGTACCTGGCCAGCCAGCTCTCCCTGCAGTGCCTCCAGCTTCTCCTGGGCCCAGAGCGAGGCGCTCCTCTCCTGGACCACTCGGGCGCTCAACTGGTCCACCTTCTGGAGGAGTTTCCTCTCTGACAGCTCCAGCTCCTGAATCCTGCAGCAACGGAAGCAGGAAGGCGCCTGCTCAGGGTGTAGTAAGTATGGCCTGGTGTGTGCGTGCACTTATTTCCTTCATGAGAGGGAAAGATAGGCACCTCTGACAGGGCCATCATACGCCAAGCCCTCACAGCCCTGAGCCAGCCAGGGACACCCACACTCCCCAGGGATACCCGGGACATGCACCTGGAACCAGGAACCCTCACATGCCTCCTGCATCACACGGCACCACCCCCACTGCTTGGGCCACCCGGCTGGGCCGGCCTCAGGTTTCCACAGACAGCAGGGCCAATCTTTTTTCTTCCTTCTGCCATGTTAATGTTCTGACAAAATTATATCATGTAAATCTTTCGTACCTATCTTTTTTTTGTTTTTTTGGAAAGTTTTTGCTATAGATAGGGTGTGTGCGCAGACCAGAAAGACAGAGAGACAGAAAGTGAGAAATCACCCCTCAGGGGGATGGCCATGCCGCAATCCCTTCTCCTCCACTCTCCTCTCAGGATTTTGGGCACGCACACACACTCGCCTGGCGTGAGTTTAAGCCACCAGGTCCGGGACGCGAACCGCAGTCAACTACATGGGAGTCTAGCAACATAGCCATTATGACAACTGCTGCTCCCTTTTGTACCTATCTTTTAAAAAAAAAAAGATCTACAGTATTTCAGAGAGATCACTGGACTAAGGCCCCATGTAACATAAATCTTAAGAGGGTCTCAATGCTGAACCAATAACCTACCAACAAGAGTGACTGGGCCTGTGCCGTTTAGGCTCTGAGCATTGCTGGAATAATTCCTCACAGCATCTCCAGCCTTTGGGGAGATTCACCACCCCTACTTCACACAGAAGAAAACCAAGGATCAGAGAGATCAGGTAATTTGCTCAAGGCTACGCAGCACTGTAGAGTCCAAACTGTCTGGCTTCCAAACTCATGCTTTTATTGCCTCCCCTTTTAGATCTTCTATGGCTTGAGCGTGTTTTCCCCAAAACTCGAGTGTAAAATTTTGGTGAGCCACTGTGAAGGTTTTAAAAGGGTGGGAACTTCGTCCGACTGTAGGATGGAGACATGAGGCTCTCAGGAAGTGAGGAGGATTAGGTAAGGAAATTGGGTTGCGCTTCCCCACCTGAATCCTGGTGGGTTCATAAGGAGAGCGAGTGAGACCAGAGCGGAGACCCATGGACCCAGACACGCTCGCTGCTGCCCTCAGCCACGCTGGCATGCAGCTGGCAGACCCTCGCCAGGTGCCAGCATCATGCTCAGCCTCTAAAACCGCCAGCCACGAACCTCTATTCTCCTACATTACCCAGACGTGGCTATTCCTGTTACTAGCGACAGAAAAGACTAGAACTGCTGCCGTCTTATGATTCTCTTCTAAGGAAAAGATTGGCATTCAGGAAAAGCTTTCTGCAACTAAAAATGTAATGTCGGTAGTATTTATATTCCCAAGCGAGAATCTGAAAGTAGCTTCACTAACAGGCATGGCTAAGCCCCCAAAGGCTTTGTATTGTCCTAGGAGACACTGAGGCTGTGTCACAAGCAAATGCCACACCCGGAACAGAGGTCCCACTGCAGCTTTGGGGAGGAGATACAGCAAGATGGAGGAAGGAAGTCTGAAGGGCAGGCCTGGCTCCTGGTCCTGCTGGGAGAGGAGGTGCCGAAAGACCTGCCTGTCTTCTGCTGGGCTCGGTTCCCAAGTTCTCTAAGGTGCCAACGTTCCCTGTGTGTCCACGTGAGAGGAGTGTGCATGGCCTCCGTGGACAAGCTCTGCACACCCTCGCGCTTTTTCCAGGGGACGGCTCATACACGGCAGACTCTTCCCCCGCGGGTGAAGACCTAGCTTTGCCTCCTGGCTCTGCCATTCACTGACCCTGTGACCTTAACTGGGCCAGTTGATCACTGTGACCCCCACTGTCTTTATGTAAAGAGAGGTAATTGTACCTCGCTCAGAAGTACAATTGTTTGTGAAAATTAAATGAAATGACTATTAATAATAAGGACAAGAGAGACCCTGTCCAAAAAAAAAAATCCTTTCTCCCTCCCCTTCTGTCCTCTGTCTCTCACTCCCCCTCCCCCTCACTAATAAATAAATAAATAGGAGACGAGTTCCCTCTCCTAGTTCAGTTTTCAGGTGATAGAAGGGGGATGCAGCAGGTGGCATGGTCGTTAAGGGCTCTGGACTCCCACATGGTCAACTGTGGTTTGAGTTCTCTGTGTGTGTGTATCTCTCTGGAAATATTAAAATAAATAATAATAAATAAAGTTAAGTAAAATACTTCTTTTAAAAAAAAAAGTGACGGAAGGGCATGTCCCTTCTGTGTGAATTATAATCATGTTTTTGGAACTGAACCAGAGGAGCGGCCCTGGGTGAATCATTCAGAGAGGCAGGCTGAGAGCCTCCTGATTGGCATACAATGTGGTGAGATCGAAAAGGGAAGGAAAAAGCCTGTCTTTTTGGTTTCTGAGACCAGTCAACGACACTAAATATGACTAATCTCACTTTGGCAGGCTGTATCATGGTCCCCAGATAGCCCCTGACCTGTCGGAATGTTATCTAACATGCAGAGAGACTGCTGATATGGTTAAGGATGGTAAGAAGAGGAGAGCATTTGTATTAGCCAGGTGGTCTCTAACTGCAATCTCAAGTAGTGTCCTTAGAGAGAGATGGAGGGAGAGTTATAGAGATGGCCATGAAGCAAGATGCTGGCTTCAAAGATGGAGAAAGGGCCAGGAGCCAAGGACCATGGCTCTTGAAGCTAGAAAAGACAAGGAAGTCGATCCCCCTACACCCTCTGGAGAGAGCATGGCCCTCCCGACACTTGATTTTTAACCCAGCGAGACTGATTTCCAACTTCTCCCCTCCAGAACGGAGAGACAATCAGTTGTGTTGTTTAAACCACCAGGTTGTGATCATTTGTTACAGCAGCCACAGGAAACGAAGACACTCACACAAACATGAAATAGTGAAGTAACCTTTTCAACTGACCGAACTAAGAACATATTTTCAAAATGTTAGCATACAGTGTTGTAAAGAGCACTATGACATTAAGAGACTCTGTCAGGGCCCCAGGATATATTGGTTCATAATGGCTGCAGTAACCATTCTGGACCAGGCTGCCTGGGTTCAAGTCCCAGCTGCCCCACAGAGCTGGCTGGGGGTCCATGGACAAGTTACTTATCTGCCCAGTGTCTTAATTTCCCCATCTGTACTAACACTTCATTTTCAGTACAGTTTAAGGATTAACTGTTAGTATTTGTTAAACATGGAAGCAATGGCTGGCACCAAGCAGATGCTCAGTAAGTGCTTAGCTACTATTAATTGTGTCGCATTTGGATTGGAAACATATATGCAAAAATAATCATGTTATGAAGATGGAAGTGGAACTTTCTTCCTCAAATTTCTAACACTATTACATTATTTGTTTAAAGAATTATTTTATTTAGCTTTATTCATTCATTTTTCTTCTTAAATTTGACCAGAGAAGGACAGAATGAGAAAGAGAGAGAGAGAGAGAAAGTGAGAAAGTAAGCTGCCAGGTCCAGGACTTGAACCACAGTCAGCCATGTGGGATTCCAACACCCTTAACCACCACACCACCACTGGCCCCTGTTGCATTATTTTTATGACAAATACTTTAAAAGTTTAGCTTTTCAATTGAAGTGAATCTGATGCGGACCTCCAGCCTTTCATTATACCCTGCTTGGACCAAACTGTTGTGCAATGAGCCTGACGTCTGTATTCAGAGTCCTGCTCAGACCCTGACTTCAGCTCTTAATGACTCTGGACACTATAGTTCATCCTTTCAGCTCCAGTTTCCTCATCTGTAAGAGGAGATATCATTCTATGCATTATAGGGTCAAGGTAGGCAAAATGAAGCCAGGGTAGGAGAGCCGTACCCCGTCCTCAGAGAGCACAGAGGACACAAGCCCACAGGCTCCCGCCATAGAGGACCTGCCCTGTACTGCTCGGCTGCCCCTGGGACCCTCGTCTCTCCCTCACACAGACGAGGTCTCCTTTGGGAGGCGCCTTACCCAGCTTCTCCAGGCCAGTAGACCTTCTAGTTTCTGTTGCGTTTTAAAACTATTTATTTAATTTTATGCATCATTATTATAATTTTTTCAATTTGACCAGAGAGAGAAAAAAAGAGAAAGTGAGAAAGCAAACCTCCAGGTCCAGGATCTGAACTGAGGTGGGCCATGTGGGAGTCTAGTGCCTTAACCACTATGTCGCCTGCCTTACCCAACCTTCTATTTTATTGTCAGTCTTTCTGGAGGAAGATTTGAATGTGTAACCAAGATTGCGCACACTGCTAGTCTCTTAGGGTTGAGGTCCTGAGTGCCCCAGTGGGGCATGCCCTTAGTCTGGGACTTCTGGCCTCCAGAACCGTGAGGAAGTAAGTTTCCGTGAATTTCTCTGTCTGTAGTACGTTGGAATGGCAGCCCTAGCAGACTAACACAATGTAGTGCGTGAGTCTGGAGGGTAAATGCAGGTTGCTGAAGGAATGAATGAATGGGTGGATGGATGGACAATCACATAGGTTAGCAAAAGAATTATGATTTGTGAATTTCTTCACGTGCAAAGTTTTACCAGGAGAAGAAAGAAGTAAACCACATGTAAATATGCATTTAATGGTTTGCCTTTATTGAAACGAAGGCAAATACAAGAAAATAGGAAAGTTCCACAAAAATCCAAGGCACTTGGTTGCTGGGCTATTAGTAAACCCATAGAATTGACTCTGGCCATAACCGTCCCGCACTTCCACTCTGGGTTTCTCCTCATGTATGTAAGACCACCTCATTTTGCCTAGTCGAGGTATCAGTAAACAGCAGGAAAGAGCAAGGACTTTGGAGAAAGACCTGCACTCCAATGCCCCACGTTGGGTCCACATCTGTTCCACAGGAAAGCAGAGCCCGCACCAGGGAGCTCAGCAGAGAGACGCATGGAGCACCCACTACAAAGACGCAGGAGCTCACAGGCCAGGCGAGATGACAGGCAGCACAGATGAGCAGCTAGCGAAAGGTCCTTCTGCCTCTGGGGAGATGGTGTCACTAGGGCCCAGGAGCCAGGCCGCCCAGCATGATCTTGGACCACAGAAGAAGCTGAGAGTTTGTCTGCGTTACAGTCACAATTAGAGATGGCACCCAGAGTTCAAGAAAGGGCCAAACACTGGTTGTACCTTCTGGCCTGCTTCAGTTGGAGCCTCTCTCAAAGGAGACTCCTTCCCTGTAAGGGAGAGACAAAGAGTCCCAAGGGTACCATGAGCAATGGAGAAGAGCCTGGGGTGGGGCCACCCTGGAGGAGGCCTCTTTGGCCTGGGTTCCTCCCATTGGCTGGACCCCAGTGGAAGCCAGTGAGCAGAGGAGTCTGGAAACCTCATGGCAATCCAGAAGGCATGGGAAAGACAGGGAGAGCTGAGGCAGATGACTGCTGCGGGCAGGTCAGGTACCACTGGTGAGCCCGTTTCCTCAGCTCAGAGATAACTCGGCACACACGGTCACACAGTAATGATGCCCTGGGACTTGTCAGTTCACACAAAGAGATGGAATCGGCACATCTACCTGCTCCTCAGCCCAGATTCCGACGTCACGTGCTTGTCCACAGCGGCCAGCAACTTCTGCTCGGAACACTCCAGCTGTTTTCTGAGTGTCCCCGTGTCCACATCTGGGCCACTGGCTGCTTCCTCCGGAAGACATCCCTGCTCCTCACTGCAATCGTCCATGTCCCGGAATATCCAGGACGTGTCGATCTTCACATCAACGTTCATTATATCAAACCCATCACCACCGGGGACTCTGACAACATAGCTGAAGCTTTTTTCAGTCTGTCCTTCAGCCGTTGACGCCATCTCTAAGGATTTCATGGGTCAAGACTTAATAAAGTAAGTGAATTTCTAACATTGGCTTCCTGGAGATTTCATGGTGGTGGTTGTGCCTTCAGACTGCTCAGGAAAATATCCTTTGAGGAGGGCAAGAACAGGTGGATTATTCATGAGTGGGGGACTTGGGTTTCATTTGCACAAACGTCATACAATATGAATGAATGCCTCTCGTTTTACAAGTCAGCATGCCAGAACTCACCCAAAGCAAGAAAAGGCTGCAGAAAAATCACTTGGAATTAAATGCTTAATAATGAGTACAAAGAAGGAAAATAAGATTTCCAGACAGGACTGGTAACCAGAATATCGTAAGGTCTCAGTAGTTAGTACATGAAAGGTTTTCACCAGGACCTGAATGGATTCCTTTTCCTCTCTGAGCCTGGCAAGCTCTATTAACATCAAGGCCCCAGAGCGTGTTAGATAAAGGGGACGAAGGGGAGGGGTACTATGCGCTGGGTACTGGCCATGCTTGGAGTTCGCCCACGCCCTGCCTAGCCCCGTTGTCCTGGAGAGGTGACCCTACAAGGTGGGCATCCGCATGACCATCTTGCAGATGGTAAAATGGGGCTCTAAAAGGTGAAAGAGCTTGTCCAGGTCCCACAGATGAAATGAAAAGTGGCAGAAACAGGATTCAAATCTGGGTCACACTCCCTAACTGGGGTGTTCAGTTAGGGAACTGTAGGGGATTGGTTCCAGGAAACCTCGCCACCCCCACCCAAGGATATCGAAATTCTGAGGATGCTCAAATCCTTTATGTAAAATGGAGGAGTACCGTCAGCCCCGCATCATGGGTGCAGTCAACTGCAGCTTCTAGCACAGGAGACACAATAGGTGTGGACTACGATGGGAGAAAGGGTGTCCTCTGGGAGCCCAAGGGTGGGAGAGGGTACTCTGAGCCGAAGAGGTCATAGGAGGGCTGAGGAGCCACAGCAAGCTTAGGGGGATAGGGGACTCCTCTGGGAGGAGGGATCCTTGGACCACAGCCTTGCAGCAGAGGCAGGACAGGTGAAGGGAATGGAATGGCCTGGCTTTGGCTAGCCCAGTGGACACACAGGAGGAGGAAGTGAGGATCAAAGACTGAAGGTGGGTTGGGGCCATATTCGTGCAGGTGCTCAAGGGCTTTGGCATCTCCCTGTGGGTAACAGAGAGTCACTGGAGTACAAATGCTTGGTCACATGTCACTCTGAGGATGGAGCACTCCAGGGTGTATCGGGGCAAACACAGAGCAGCCAGCCGTGTGTGAGGAGGCAGTTACAGCAGGCTAGGCCTGATGCAGAACAGATAAGAGCACATTGAGTTGGAGGGCCAGATGGTGGCACAGTGGTAATGTAACCAGACCAGCGTGGGATGGTCCCGGGTTCACTTCCCGGGGATTTCTTGTACATACCAAGCACACATAGCGATCTGGGGCTGGGACAGACCACGGCATGAGGACCCTGTTGGGGATGCTGGCTCCCTTTCTTTCCCTCTCTCAAGAAACAAAAATCTTTTCAAAAGAAAAGGCTTAGTTAACCTTACTGAAAATAATGGAAGAGGCTTTCCTCTCCCTTTCTTATTGCTTTTACTTTAGAAAATGTGTTCTTTCTTCATCACTTTGAAATGTAGGTAAATCCCTTTTAAAGCTAAATAAGCCTTGGGCTAGCAGGTGGCATGGTGGTTAAGGCGCTGGGCTCGTACATAGTCAACCATGGTTCAAGTCCTGGACCCGGTAGCTTGATAATTCACACCAGGCATGTGTGTGCATGCCCAAAAGCCTGAGAGCAGGGATTGCAGTGTGTCCACCTCTTATGGGGGGGATGATTTCTCGCTTTCTGTTTCTGTCTTTCCAGCAAGCACACATGCCCTATAGCAAAAATCTCTCTAAAAATATAATAAAAAAGCTAAATCAGTCTTTGCTAGCCTTATGACCCAGCAATGTCCTTTTCTTTTTATCTCCCCCCCACCATATGTCTTCTTGAAGGACCTGGAAGCCATATCTTCAGAATGTAAACCCCAGGAAAACAGAGCCCTCGTGGCCTCGTGGGAGGCTAAGAGCCTAACTTTGGCAGGGTCTGGGTTCCAAAACTACCTCGTTAGAAAGAAGTTTGTTTTCTCCTTTAATGAAACAGGTGAACAAACGCAGGGTCACCCAGTGACCAAGTGGATGGACTGAGGCTTCACCGTGTGACAGTGTGCCATCGCTCTCTCACTGGGGGACGAGCGACTGTCCTGAGATGGCACGTGACGGCTGTCTGTTCCGTACAGGAAGGGCGGGCTTTCCTCTGGTCCGCGATGTCGTCAGACGTCGCCTGCGATGCACCCCGCATCCCGGTTTAATGCGTATGTAACAGTGTTTTCCCCCTCTTCTACTCTCGTGGAGAGGTTTTCTGAGCTGAAACTTTGCTCTTACGCACAGGTCCCCCACAGTGGCCAAGAGAGGTTATGGAGACAAGAAGCAGGCAGAAGCGACAGGATGCGGATTGGGCCTAAGGGGTAGAGTGAAGCAGCTCAGAGCCCAGGGACTAGGTCAGACTGCCAGGGTTCGAATCTTGTCTCCACTGCTTCTCAAGATGAATTACTTAACTTCTCATAAAAAGTGGCGTGGGGGTATGAGAGGTCGAGAGCTGTGGAGGAATAGTGAGCTGGTCTCTGCAAAGCACTGAGCAGAGTTCCGGGCACACCCTACTGCACTACGACGCCACTTGGTGGTGGGCAGAGGAACTACCGTGCAGTCCCGGCCATGCAGTCTGCTGTGTTAGACTGTGTCCGCCTGCACTGCTGGACACGGTCATGTGATCATAGCACGTGATCAGCCCCTGGCAGAACAAGACCAGCAGCCAGTCCCCTGCCCATGCCCGGCCCGGCTGTGGTGCGAACTCCCCGTGCTCTCGGCGTGGTGCCTGGCCCTGTGAGTCCCCAGAAACACCAGCCATGAGGCGCGGAGCAGGAAGACTGACAGCTAAATGCAGCAGAGACCAACTGTAACCGTCTGGGGGCTGGCCAAGGAGAAAGCCGATCTCTAGCCCGTTCCTGGGGAGCAGCCCCGAGAGGAGGTGCTTCCTTCCTCCTTCTCTGGGATAGGCAGATGGGCATTTCAAGTCCTGTCGGATAAGTAACCAAGACTCTGGAATGGGGAAGATGAAAAGGAAATGGCCTATCACTAATTCCGGGGGGTGCTGAGGACGGGACCTGACTGTAGGCCCCCCAGTCTCTCCCAAGGTGGCAGGAGGGAAATAGATTGACCTGGAGTGGCTGTAAGGACAGGCCCCTATGCCCTTATACCCCGAGGTGGAGGCTGGTCCTTGGAAGGACAGCGCCATGGCCAGAGCAAGGCACTGCCGTCCCCATTTCAGATGAAACCGAAGCCCCGGAGAGACAGAGAAGGGAGAGGAGGAGGGTGGCTGCCATCCAAAGACTGCAACAGAGCTGGCATCTGGGGCATAACTTAGGGGCTGCGGAAGCCCCAACCAGTTCTTAGACAACTTGAGCATGAAAACAGGCCCCACATTGGCTGGTTTGGGATTTCCGCCAAACTTGGCAGGCCCCCAGCAGGTTCTGGTTAAATGTGAGAAAATGCACATCAGAGCCGCTATTGTGTGTTGTGTACCGGGCGTGTCGGGCAGGGCGTGTCGGGCAGGATGGAGGAGTTACTGCTCATACATGGCGGGCTGCACTGTGAGAGGGCAAGAGCTGTGGAGGAATAAATGAGCTGGCCACCGCAAGCACTGAGCAGAGTTCCCGGCACGCCAGGAACCAGGCAGACATGGGTTCTGGGAGGTGAGGGAGGAGCAGGAGCCCGGACCCGACACCAGGGGAGGCTGGGAACGCGAGAAGCAAGGGTGTCGGGGGAGGGAAGGAAGAAGTCCACGCAGAGGATGCAGAAGCTCGAGCTCAGGCGTGGCATGCCACTGTCGGGGTAAACCACAGCCCCAGCCCCGACTCGTGCTCCCGCCGTGACCTCAGCACCATGCTGGGAGAACCTGGGGCTGGTAGACGAGCAAACCCTAAGTGTGTCAGCTCAGAGCACGTCTGCCTTTGCACATGACACCGAGTGCAACTCAGCGAAACACAGCCATGACCCCAAAGAGAAGTGGCATCCAGCGAGAGGGCCCTTACCCCTTGTAGCTCCTGGGAGGCAACTCTCCCGACCCGGCCAGGACTTCAATATGGTACGACTGGAAGTCCCGAGTCCCGGGAACCCCCCAGCCCTGAGCAGTGCGTGGCTCGTCACACTGTTAGCTGGTCTCCTTGGCCTCCGATGCCAGAAAAGCCATGACAGAGCACAGTTCTAGCCTCTGGCTTGTGCTCCCCAACCTCTCACTGACTACCACTGTCCTACAGGGCACTGAGGTGTAGGGCTGGGAAGAGGGAAACCCACGTAGGTGACCCCACAGGCCAGGTCTGTGCCAGCAGCTTCCAGGGGCTCATGTAAGCCTCCCAGGAGATCCGTGGGGGGCTGGGTCCAGGCTGGCCCGCTCTCCTTTCTGCTTGAGAGATTGGTTAAGCGTGGGTCCAGTAAGCTTGTAACTCTGCTCTCTGGCAATCACACGTTACCAGGCAACGACGGTAACAGACACCCTGCTGATGGGCCTCACCTGGACAGAGGGCTATGGGCGAAGCAGCAGGCACCTGGTGGCCGCCAAAGTGCTAAGGCTCCCTGAGTGCCGCGGCTCTTCCTGTCACTAGGAGGGGCCTGGAAGCCATGCCTGGGACTGTTCTAGAAATGCTGGTTCCTACTGGGGACTTCAAGCTTCTAAGCTCTGTACCTGCTGATGTGCACCTTGTTCCCTGGCCCCTCGAGGCCTCCGGGTTGGGCCAGAGGAAAGGGGTCCTGGTCCCTGATCAGTATGGACTGGTATGGACTTGGCAGGATGACTCCCACTGAGACCAGTGGGGGCCGTGCCTCCTGCCAGCAGCCACCTGAGCATCGCGGTGGCCTGTGGGAGTCTTGCAGGTCTGACTGTCTGGCCTGCCCCACAGAAGACCCCTTGCGAGCTGTCGTACGGGAATTATTCCCCTGCTCCTCTGAGCGGCAGGCATAGCCCCTGTGTCTGCAGAGGGGCGTCACCCGGCAAGGCTGCTCTGTGCTTTCTGGCCCCAGAGAAAGCAGGTGTGTCTTTGCTTTCACCCCGCCGTGACCCCACACTCCTGTCGCTGCCTTGGCGGCTCGGCTGCCTGTTTTCTCAAGCAAAGGCATCAGTTCGTTCATATCTGGTCGCTGAGTGTTGATAGGTCCCGGTGGCTGGGGTGCTGGGTGCTTTGGGTTTGGATTTTAAAAGAGGGTGGGTGCTTCTCAGCTGTCCAGTGCGGTCTGCTGAAAGTGCCCCGATTTTTGCTTTGGTGGGAACAGCGCCCCGTCTGGCTGGGTTCCTTTGGTGCACTGCACCATCCTTTTCCACCCTTGGGTCTGGCCTCCGGAGCACTCCCAGCTCCTCGGGTTCCCTCCCCAGTGGGCTCCCTCAGGGCCTGGATTCACATTCCAGTTTCCTCTCAAGGTTCTTCTCACTGAAAGGCAAGCTTGCTCCTCTGTCCCGTAAACACAGGGCAATGAGTCCAGCTGGCCAGCAAGCCGTCGGGCCCCATCCTGCCTTCCACAGGGTCTTCGCACAGACACGGCCATGGGCCTGGCACTCACACCTTCTGTCTCTTGCAGTCCCTTCTTATTCCAGACGTCTTCCCTTCAAACGCTGGGAGAGGACGAGCAGGCGCTTTCTTTCCGAGATGCCCCATCTACCCACCTAGAATAACATAAGAACAGCGACCAGAGGGAACTTGGCTCCAGGAATTTCCTCCTGGGCCAACCGTCACCAGCTGGGGTCTGGTTTTCCTGCGATGAAACGGAGCGTCCGCTCCATCATTCTCCACGCCGACGGCTCTCCGCGCTCCACGGGCCTGGCCAGCCTGGAGCAGGACGAAGGGAGCTCTTCCTTCCGCAGTCCGTGCTCCTCCCTGCCCTGAGAAGGCCATGCTCTGGACTTCTGCCACACCCTTGGAAACCTGAAGACCCTGGGCTCCGGGAGGACCCGCCCCTGCTGGGTGAGGCTCCAGACAGCCGTGGAATTCAGCTGCTCATAGATTTGGGGGTTTTGCCAACCTGGACTGGAATCGGGGCTCAGGGCACAGGGATATTTGCGAGTCGTGCCAGCAGATTCTGCAAAGAACACAGCACAGTTTGTGGAGATCTATGTACACAGGGCAGAGACAGCGTCTGTGTCCCTCCCGGCATGTGCGTCGTGGCTGGGCGAGGCATGTGTGTGGCGACAGCAGGTGACCTGTCCCCAGCGGTGCGGGGGCTCTCCAATCCCTCGGTTTCTGTAATCGCACTTGGTTCCCTGGCATTTAGGCCTCAGCCCCAGGGCTCTTGAAGGGCCACAGCTGGAACACGGATGTGGCTCCAAGTTTGACAACACCCATGGTCCCTGCAGAGTCCTCACAGCTTAGGCTGGCTGGGACCAGCCATGGATCCAAAAGGCTTCCCCTTAAAGCTGTTGTCAAATATACGAATTCTCTGGACCTTGAATAGCTTGTTTTGCTGTTGGATTTTGGTTTGAGTGGGGTTGGGGTTGCCATAGGGACTCAGTTTATTCCATACCTTCTTTTCTTATCCTGTAAGATTGAAAATAATGTGAAATAACAAGAACCAAGGATGACAACAGTAGAGGAGCCCCTGGCTCCTTGCCCCACACTCCTGCCCCATCACTGACCTGAAATCTCCAGCTAAGCCCCCTGAGGGACCTCCCAAAAGTGCAGGGAGAGGGCTGCAGGGTCCCCATGGTCTCCCTCCAGTCCCCAGCCCAGCCCCTATGGCTGCCTCAGCTCTGTGAGACGGGGCTTATAGCTTGTCCTCTGGACCCAGACGTCCCTTTACTTATTACACACACGCTGAATGGGCATCTACCATGTGCCCAGCGCTGTCCCGGGTGCTGGGATATGGAAGGTATCAAACCAAAGCCCTTGTGAGTGGGGCAGCTTGAAGGTCATCCTTGGGCAGGGCCCGCTGTCAGCTCAGCCCAAGGGGTGCAGGCAGTCCATGGGCATGGCTCATGGGGCCTGGCCTGGGCTCTGAACTTTAGAGCTGAGGGGTCCTGCAGACCCAGCCCTGAGATGGACAGTCAGAACAGGGAAGATGTGAATGGACACGGGGCCAAAGAGGAACTCAGGGGGAGCTCCAGGTCACCCAGGGGCCGGGGTCAGAGCAGGACCAGCTGCCGGGATGCTTCATCCTGAGGTCCCTGGACGTAGCAGGGCATCAGAACCAGGCTGCGGTCAAGGGGCGGAGGGAAGGGTGATGGCAGGGAGCTGGGTGGCTTTTGCACAGGCTCCATGGACATTCTGCACGGAAGTCAGTCTGGCCTTGTGAGCCTCTTGCCCTCAAGCCCCTGCTCCTGCAGACCCCTGGCCCTGAAGTCACCCACGCTGACCCCTACGGAAGAGTTTCTGGTCTACAGGGGAACCGAAAGCACCAGGGACTGAAGCGACACGGGAGAAAATAATGGAATGGAACAGAAGCCCCCAGGGTGTACTCCCAGGGCAGCTCCTTATTCACGTGGGCTCTCCTGATCTTCCTCCAGGGCTGGGACTTGCCAGGAACCCCATGGTGGCCCGGACCCGAGGAGCCAGAGGACTGAGGAATCTAGCACAAGGCCACCTTCCCTGACACTTCATGACTCAGGGGATGTTATAGTCAGGAGTGGGGACAATGGACAATCTTCCATTGTCAGGAAATCACTACTTTTCTCAGTGAAAAAGAAAGGATACCAACCCGAGTTCTTGGCTCACTGCAGTCATCAAGGCCACAGAATAAACGCTAGTGAGAAAAACAAAAAAAGGAACAAAAACTATAAAATAAGACCAAAATAAAATGAGGAAAAGAAAAGAAACGAAAAAAGAAGAGAAAAGAAAAGAAAAGAGATGTAAGATATGTAATGTGGAATCCAATGACAGCATTTTACAAGAACGATGACACTGGGCTTGGGTTCAGAAAGGAAAACAGGAACCAGGCTCGGCAACAGATTCCACCTACAAACTCTTCTCCTGGCACCCCTGACCTATGATGCCCTGAGAGGGTTATTCTCCATATGCCCCAACATCCGGCAACTCGAATGGGGGGTTAGAGCGTGGACCAGGGTGTCCTGCTGCTGAGATGTGGCTGTCTTATGGCTGCTGGGCAGGGCCACACGGAGGAGGGCCTTTGATGGTCAGGGCTGGTGGCTGCCGCCAGGAGACCAGGGCATGGTCTGCATGTCCATTCTCATGGAAAATTTCACCCAAGGTCCCCTGGCCCAAGCAGACAAACAGAACCTCCCCCTTACCGTCCCTGCCAGGGTTCTCTCTTCTAAGAGATTCAGTATTTAAATCCCTTGTTGGGGCCAGCAGGTGGAGTAGCCGCTACGTTGCTGGACTCCCACGTGGCCACCATGGTTCACGTCCCTGACAGCTTGAAACCCAACGCCAGGTGCCACCAGGCACGGCCAGGCGCCACCAGGCACTGCCAGGCGCCACCAGGCACTGCCAGGCGCACGTGCATGCATGCCTTAGATCCCAGAAGGAAAACATGGGAGAAAGGACTGCAGTGCGGTCATCCCCCATGGGGGTGATTTCTCACATTCCCTCTCACTGTCTCTCCTCTGTCTCTGTCTCTCTCTTTTCCCCTCTTTCTCTCTCTCCCTCTTTCCAGCCAGCACACATGCCCTAAGGCAAAAACCTCTAAAAATATTTTTAAAATAAAACTTTTGTTTAGCAGGAAAAAAAATAAATTATTTGATTGGTTTACTTTTAAAAGAAAAAAAATAGGAAAAAAATTACCTTAAAGGAAAGAAAAATTACACAGGTCACTTTGAAGGTAGAATTTATTTTTCTTAACCTATTCGTGACTTCCTTTTCAAATATGAAATTGCTGATGATCAGGTGAAACATATCTGAAAACCACCTGGGGCTTTTGAAAATAATTCTCTGGTGTTTCGTTTTTTGGTTTTTGTCCCCCTCCAAAAAAACACAAGGCAATAGTTTTCTTGTATTATTGACTAAAGAAAGTAGAACTCAAACAGCCACCAACTCCTACACAAGTTTTAGACTCACTGGAAGTAAACGCCCAAGGCGTCTTCAGAATCATCCCCCTTTATTTTCCGTATGGGGAAACTGAGGCCTGGGGAGGGGGAAGAAATTGCCAACACCACCCAGTAGGGTGTGGCAGGGGAGTCTCTGGGCACTGGCAGAGAGACCAAATAGCCATTGATAATGTGGCTGGGGTCAGTTCTGTAAAAAAAAAAAAATTCCAGACAAACCAAATTCTAACAACCCATTTGAACAAAAACGAGCAGTTTCCCAGAATAGCTGCCAGGGAACTCCAGGGCGCCTCCTGGTCACATGGTATTTACTGCTGGAAAGGGAGTGACACGTGCAGGAAAGCGGAAGTGAGCCCCAACGTGGAGGTGAGGGAGTGAGGCGGAGAAAGCCCTGGGCTGCTCACAGCTGGATGGCCGGCTGCACCCACAGCCTAACCGGGTGAGCTTCCTGCGGGTGACGAGTGTGGCTAGTGCGACTCGTTGTAACTTAGCAACGCGCCAAGGAAACGGTCTAACGTGTGCGGTTTTGGTTTGCCCATAGGAACCCAGGGGTGAGAGTGCAGCGGCCGTTCCGGGCTGAAATAGTTTGGGTTAACAATTTCATTTCATCGTTCCCACCATCCCAGGCCAATTGTGGCCGCAGGTGCCACGTCGGCCTCCTGGAATATGTTTGCTTCTACCAGCCCAGCCAAGCCTCCATCCTTAACAATCCCACCCGCTCTGAACACCACACGTTGCAACTCCCTTCTGTGACAAACGAACACAGACCAATCCACAAGTATTTGCTTTGAAAAGAAAAGAGTGAGAAAGAGCGAGGAAGATAATCCAGACATTTCCCAGCTCTTCCGCTGAGATATACACTGAAAACACACCCAGCGTTAGTTCGCGTGAGTGCCTGCCCTACTTGATTTCAACATTTTAATCATCAGGGACAATTGTGGCCATGTGTGACCCCTTTTCTGTCATGTCTGGCTTTGTAACCTATGATGCCTGCGAGGTGGGAAGGTAGGAGAGCCAGCGAGGGTGGCCCGCCTGCCTGCCTGGGCCTTGGGCTAAGCATGTCCGCAGCCTTGGTCTAGGTCAATCCTACAGTCGCCTAGAGACAGAGCAGCATTCCCTGCAGCCCATGTAAGCACTAGGGCCTGGAGCAGAGGGACCATGTCCCCAGGACCTCGGGGCCCAACAGGGGCAAAGCCAGAGCGGAGCCCAGACACATCTGTCTGCAAGGCCAGCTTATCTCCCAAGAAATTCTTAAACGGAATTAGACTTGCTATCCTGCTGCGTTCTCAAAATTGCATTTAGAGGTGGGGGAATGGGCATCTGGCAGCTGGGATCCTAAAAATCAGTGAAAACTGGCAACTGCAGGAGGGGCTGAGCCCGGTCTGCGCCGCTCCTCCAGCCGTGACTCCCTGCTGCCCCCCTGAGGACACCACTGGTTGTGCTGCCAGTGAGGCCGTTGGGGCTCCTAACGAGGAGGATGGAAGGTGACTTAACCTGCTTGAAAGCAGACTCTCAGGAGAGAAGGGACAGGACATCTCTAAAATTGACATGGAAACTTGAGAGCTGCCCTATCTCTCAGGACATTGTGTGTGATTCCCTCCAGTAGGGAGGGCTATCGTCAGCCATTCTGTTTACAGTTACCCACCTACTCATTCCACGGGCACTTGGCGACGCCCTGTTCCTAGGCAAGCTATGCTGGGGGAGGAGGCGAGTACAACTGGCTCCCTGTTTTCAAGGAAGCCCTGGCCACCCGGCGGATGTGCAGGGAGGGACATGAGCCATGAAAAGGCTGCTTCTCACACAGCCTCCTGAACAAGCCTCATCTCTGGCCGGAACAACCGATGTCACAGGGGAGCCATGGCAACCCTGGAGACACAGGGTCCCTGCCCAATCTCCATTTCCTGATCCATCATGCCCATGACTGTAGAGAGATGCGAGTAGGTGGAAAATGCCTAACAGGCCAGTCTCCCTTCCTTCTGGGAGGGGAGAGACTGTCTCCAGGAACACAGAACCCACTTAAAGTGAATGAGTCCACAGGAGATAACCAATGTCCATGGGTGGGCGATGTCCCCGGCCTAGTGACAGTCTGCCCTGGCTTATCTCCTGAGAAAAAGGATCTCCTCACCCTTCCCAGTGAGGGGGTATCAGAGGGTGAACACGCCCGCACACACACACGGCCCCAGGTTGCAGGATTTCCGACCGCCACCGAGGGTCTTACCAGAAAGGTACCTGAACGGGGCACTGTTTCCTAGAGGCGCTGCCTTGGGGGAGGAGCCGACTGGGGCAGGGGGTGCGGGAGACTGGCGGGGGGGAGAAGAGATCCCGAGCTACCGTCCCAGGGAAGGGAAGCAGTGGGCAGTCCGAGCTTACCTTTTCCTCCAGTTCCTTTAGGTGCCTTTTCTGAAGTTCGAGTTTGTCCTCCAGTTCTCGAATTCTCTGCGATACATCAAGTGACATGTCAGGAGAAGCAGGTCTCTAGGTTCATAGTCTTATTGTTTTAAAGTCATGGTGCAGCGTGGACACAGCGAGGGATAAAGACGAAGTGGGCAGCTCGATGACCGTCTATGTGCACATGCTTACGGCATCACCCCAACCGGAGACGGAGACTCTCCCGAACCCCAGAAGGCCCCCCTTCCTCCTCAGCCCATACTCCCCAACGAACCCTGTTCTGATTGCTCTCATAAAGATGGGCTTCGCCTGTCCTGAAGGCCACAGACATCGGGCCATACGCTGGACACTCTTAAGACAGGATGTCTTGGACACCCAGCAGTGGCGTGTTTGTGATGCAACTGGGTCCACGTGGGAAAGACCTGGGTTCACACGTGTGTGTGCCAGGTGCTGCCTCTCTCTCTCCTCTCTCTCTCTCTCTCTCACTCACACGCACACACACACACACACACACACACACAGAAGAAATGTGCACACTTAAAGAAAATAAATAGGGGCCAGACAGTGGCTCAGAGGTGAGATGCAAAGCCCTGCGAGGCTGACCCACATGGGAAGGTGCTCGTGGGAGCCCGGAGATCCCCCTGATACACTGGGCACCACATGCTCACGATCCCGGGCTGGCTAGAGCTGGCTGGGTCACAGGATCAAGACCCTGCTGGTGTCGTCTCTCTGTCTCTCTCTTTCTGTCTCTCTCAGAGGGGGAATAAATAAATAAATTTAAAAGTAAATAAAATGAAATGAAATGCAAACGTCAAGGCCAATCACAGCAGTGCAGTGGTGACAACACTCCATGACGCCGCAGCTATACAGGAAGGTGTCAGGTCCGTGTCCCAAGGTCTCCCGCACACGTCAGGTGCTCAGACCCATGATCCTGGCTGGCTGATGCTAGGGATGGACTGTGGGGGGAGCACTCTGTCGGGGGTGCCTGTGTGGGTTTCTCACTGTCTCTCTCATAGAAAAAATGAATTTAAAAACTGTGTGTGTGTGTGTGTGTGTGTGTGTGTGTATGTGTGTGTGTGTGTGTGTGTAAACATCAGGACTGGAACAAAGGATGCAGGTACCCTAGGCATGGTAATAAAAAATCAGGGAATTGGGACCAGCAGTTAGCGTAATGGCTATGTCGCTGGACTCCCATGTAGTAGACCAGGGTTTGTGTACCGGACCCAGTGGCTTAAACTCACACTGGGCGTGTGTGCGTGCGTGCCCAAGATCCCGAGAGGAGAATGGAGGAGAAGGGATTGTGGCGCGGCCATCCCCCCGGGGGGTGATTTCTCGCTTTCTGTCTCTCTGTCTCTGTCTATCTGGCGAGTACATGCGCCCTATAGCAAAAACCTCTAAAAAAAAAAAAAAAAGAAAAGAAAAAAAAAAGACCTGAGTCTGGGAAATATTACAGATCACGTATTTGTCCAGGGTTCACTTACTGAGCCCAAGAGCCCAGGAGCCCAGGTGGGGAGGGTGCTGCTGTAGCCACCCCCACCCCCACCCCCGTTACATCCCCACACTCTCTGGAATCTCACTCGCCACTGAGATGACCAACCATCCCAGTTCACCCAGGACTTTCCTGGTTCTAACACTAAGAGTTTCCAGCCCCAGGAAAAGCATCAATCTCAGGCACACTGGAACAGCAGGTCACTTTTCCTGGTACTGCACCTGCTAAGGTCCCCGACGGACACCCACCCTCCCCGGGTGGCTCATCTGTCACTAGACAAGTTGCACAACCTCTTTGCTTTGGTCACTGCTGGGCTCCAGCACCTAGAATGGTGCTTGGTACTACGACATTAGAAAAATTAAAAACAGGGACCAGCAGTTGGCGTAATGGCTGGGTCACTGGACTCCCATGTAGTTGACTGTGGTTCAAGTCCTGGACCTGGTGGCTTAAACTCACGCCGGACGCATGTGCATGCGTGCTCAAGATCCCGAGAGGAGAATGGAGGAGAAGGGATTGTGGCATGGCCATCCCCCCTGGAGGGTGATTTCTCGCTTTCTGTCTCTCTGTCTCTGTCTTTCTGGCGAGCGCACGTGCCCTATAGCAAAAACCTCTCCAAAAAAAGAAAAGAAAAATTAAACATGAATTAGTGGCGTGATGTCATGCAGGGGACTCTGAGCGGTAGGCGGTAGGCGGTGCAGTTAGCAGCGTCTGAGAAGTCGGGATGGGAGACTGAGCTGCCTGGACCTGGTCTGGCCACCGGGAGCCAGTGAGAGACTTCGGGTGTAGGAAGGCTTCTGTGGAGAGAGGGTACTGCAGCTGGTTGTTGCACCAGCAGGTGTCTCTGCAGGCCAATTAGTCTAGGAAATAAAGCAACTTCACTGGCGCCTCGGGGAGGGACAGGACGAAGAATTTACCGGACCACTGAACTCCAGCCTCGACTGGAGTCGAATGTCGCTGTCGGGAAAGGTGCTGTCGCCAGTGGATTTTTCCCACAGCTTCTTCCCGTTAGTTAATAGGGCTTGACAATCCAAATGCTAGTGGGGACTGGGCAGGTGACATCACTGCAGTCCTCGGCCAGAGACGCAGCAGTCCACGGGCAACAAGGAGGGTCTGACCATTCCAGGGCACGTGGCCAGGGCCGGGGCAGAGGCGGGGCTTGTCGTGCTGTGCTGTGTTGCAGTGCTGTGCCGCGCAGCGCCATGTTCTGGTTTGTGCCGTCGGGGCGGGTGTGGTGTCATGCTGCCTCCTGCCACTCTTGTCATGTCGTGGCGTGTGCAGTGTCGTGCTGTCTCCTGCCACGCTGTGGCGTGTCACAGTGTGTGCGGTGTCACGCTGTTCCGTGTCATGCTGTGGTATGCCGTGTTGCACTGTGTCTTGTGCTATGTCATGCTACTTGTGCCATGCTGTGCAATGTCACGCCCTGCCGTGTCGACCCGTGCTGTCGTGTCAGGTCACGTGGTGTGTCTGCTCCAGGCACAGGGCGCAGCAGAGAACAAGCCCCGCCCCTGAGAGCTTGCCCTCTAGTGGGGGACACCGCCAGAC